GCAGGTCCTTCTCCTTGGGGTTCCGCACGTGGCAGGTGTAGCGGCCGGTGTCGCCGAAGTCCAGGTCCCGCAGCAGGATGGACAGGTTGTTCATCTTCTCCTTGGTGGAGCCCTCCAGCGTGATGCGGTCGTCGTTCCTCAGGTGCAGCCTGGGGTCCGACTTCTCGTTCTTCACAGTCCCGCTTATGAGCTGCGAGGCGGGGGGAAGAGGCGGTGACGAGAAGCATCGTGTCCGGGCATCACTCCAGCCTCCGAGTCCCGCCCGGAGCAGCCTGCGGCCAGAATGCTCCCTCCCGCCTGTCTCCCTCCCGCCAGTACCTGCAGCTCTTCTGGGCGAGCCGGATGTGGCATCCGTGCATCTCCCTGGGATGTAGCACAACGCCCACAAACGCCCCCCTCGCTCCCCTCTGCCGCCCCCCAGGTTGGCGGGCACCACCCTCTGTCCCTCAGAACGGTGGCCCCCAACCCCACAGTCTGCACTCAGCATGTCATTATGTGGAGGCGGCCATCCGTGGCTTCCTTGGTGGTCTTTCTGGTCCCCTGTGAGATGGCAGGAGAGGCCTCAGTAACCCCGGTAGCTGACCACCCCCCGGCCCTGGGGGTGCTCCTATAGGTCTCCCTGTCTTCTCCGCTCCCTCCACCTGCTCTCCAAGTCCCTTTTCCTGTTTGGACTCTCCTCATTCCCTCCCCACGCCTTCCTCGCTCCTGCTTTAGAAATCAAACTATTCCTTTTGGCACAAGCAGTTCCGGGGTCAGGTACTCCTTCCGACCACACAGAAGACTCCAAAGAGAATCCCAGCAGCCCCAATCCCAGCCCCCTGGCGGCATGATCCCAGCATCCCTCCCCTGGGGGGCTCTTCCTCGGTCGGCTCTGCAAAGAGCACCAGGAGAAGCAAAGGATGGGGTCCCTCACCGGGGGCCAGTCTCCAGGGCCCGGAGTCTGGGATGTAGGCCAGGCTGAGCAACAGGGCGGGAGGGGGTCTGCCCTGGCCCGTCCCCGCTGCCCCCCCCCCACCTGCTACTTACGACCCGGAAGGCGTCGCTGCTGTTGTAGGACCAGGAGAAGGCCAGGTTGTGGAAGCCGAAGCAGCTGGAGAAGGTGCAGGGCAGCAGGACCTCCGTGCCGTTGACGGCGTAGATGGTGGCAGCCTTCCCCACCGACACCTCCAGCGCCAGGGACGCGGGCAGCAGGAAGAGACCTGTGCGGGCACCACTCCCTTAACCAAAGCCCTCAGGCTGGGCCTGCCTGGCTCAGTGGATGAGCACTGACCTATGAACCAGGTCAGGGTTCGATCCCCAGTGTGGGGCGTGCAGGAGGCAGCCAATCAATGATTGTCTCTCATCACTAGTGTTTCTCTCTCTCTCCCTCTCCAATCAATAAACTAATATAAAAATAAACAAATCGAAGCCCCCTGAGGCCTCCAGGCCAGAGCTCAGGAGGGGCTGGGAAGGGGGTGGCTCGGCCAGGCAGGGTGCGTCCCCCTCGGCGGGAACTGCAGGAAGATGTCCCTTGACTTCCAGGGACACTCCCTGGGCCACCAGCCTTCCTTCTCCCACCGACCTCCTTGCCTGGGCGGGATTGAAGGCGGGACCACTTAAGCCCTGGTGGCATTCCGCGTGACCACTAGGGGTCACCCCACCCAAGAAAATGAGGCCCCTGCCATGGCCTGGGCACAGTCCCTGAAAATGCCCTCCCTGCCCTGCCCCTGCCTCTGCCCGTCCCACGTGCCACAGCCATTTCCCCCAGAACAGCCGCCTCTGCTTTCGTCCCTGCGGCAAAGAAGGGAAAATGCAGTCCAGTCCCGGACCCTGTTCCACCGGAGCCCGGAGCCCCCCAGGGCGGGCGTGGGAACGGTGGTC